GGAAAAGACCCACTTCAACAGTATTCATTATTATTCATTCAAATTATTTTGCCATTTCTGATTGGATCTAAGCCCACGGCTAATTCTTCATAACCAACCAGTGTTGACCAAATTTGTAAGATGTGAGCACTACAGCACTGATTTGATATTACATTGGCTTGGAAACGAGGTTAATTGATGGTACATTTGCCTGGAAATGAGGCTGCATAGGCAAAAGACCATCAATCAGCCTCACTTCCAGGCCTTCCCCTCGTGGGATAACAGTCTCCTTGATTGGCATAATATGATTCTTCACATCATACTCAGCCTCCTTCAATAATAATGGCTAAATATACCTGTTTCAATGATTTACAAATGAAGCAACCATGTAATTTTGGCCGTGCTATTGGGCAAATAAAAATGAAGAGAAAAACAATATGGACAATTACTTTTATGGTCACAAAAACTGGTCACAACTTTAAGCCAAAGAAAAAAGTTGCCTGAAATACAACATCATTGCCAGGGCCAATTTTACTTCCAAGGGTCCCTATCTCACCTTCTCCACTTTCATTATCAAGTTCTGCATCAGCTCTCAGGGTAAAGAAATACCTTTGCAGTCTTCGTACCCAAATAAAGAAGGGTCCTTCAACATATAAAGCTTTGTCTGACTTGTAGTTTCTCAAAAATTTCTTCTGGTCTGCTGTCTGCGCACTAACCAGAAACTCTCTTTCCTTGTTATCAGTATTGTCCTGGAACCCAAAATTAAATAATTAATGGAGTTGGTTCTTTCACTAGAAGACACAAATTATTATGGAGTTGTGCAATGTGTAACTTGGTCTGTCAGCAGTACTCTTATTTGCTATTTTTGTTAGGGATCACTTCAATAAAACTTTTACATGCGTAATTTACAAGGGTGGCCATTGTTTTGAGTCTAAAACAATAGCTACACTTGTGAATTACACTCAAAAGCTTTATTAAATTGACCCCAGTATTTCACAAATGGTAACATGAATGTTGGTATGGAAATATTTTACACTGTTGAGCATAAAATGGCGAGAGCACTTTTACAAATATTTAGCCGCACGGGCATCCCATAATCACTGTATGCCTTCCGCTCTCCCTTAGCTTGCAGGTTTAGAATCCCCACTGGCATACTACCAAAATCACTTAACTGTTCTAAGCACCACGAGAAGAAAAAAAAATGTCTGAATGTCTCACGTACCCATTCTGAGTACCCTGTTTCATCATGATACTCTTCCCAATTTTAGAATGGTGATAACAACAGTTTTAATGGTTGAAATGATCATGAATGCTAAAGAAGAACTTTTTTACATGGCAAACCACAAAAGATGTGAGATCACTAATATCATTGATAACATTTCGGGCAGAGGTGGAGATCAGGGGCGTAGCCAGTCCACAGGTCTGTAGGTCCGGACCTACAAATTTTTGGTTTGATCACTCTACCACTTGTAATAAATTATGCGTTGTTGGGGTGAGCTAAAAAGCTTAAGGGCTTAAAGTGTTCGTGAGGTCAGTGCATACTAGTCATACATGCCATTTTCATGATATGTGGAAATGAAAGTCAGCAAGGCCTACAAATAGTAAAAAAGCTGGCTATGCCACTGGGGTTGTTTCAACAGAATTCTATCCTGGCAGTTTTAGAGCATTTAAACCACAAACGGTTATCATTGCCTTAATATGGTGTAAATGGGAAGGAATATCACATAACCAAACAGGGCACTGAGAAATTCAGTCAACTATTTTCTGGGTGCTAACAGTTTAGGGATTTTAGTAGTACAGGATGTCATGGATTCAAATTTGGGACTCATAGAGTCTTTTCCCTGTGCTTGTGAAATGATTTGTCTAATCCTTAAATAGGGTCAGGGTTTTAGACCCTTGGTGGAACACACCTATCCAAAATAAAAGGGAGTACCCTGCCAAGGATTAAACCCTGCCAGTACCTTGAAGATAGTTATAATCTGTTCATCTTTGGTCATTCTGGTAAGTGCTAGTTTGCTAAGTTCTGTATCACTTTCAGGTAGCACTTTTGGATAAGGATTAGGGAACATTTCCTCCAACTTGTGATACCAATAAATCATCCTGCGACATTTTTGCAATGGTTGACTAGCATGGCCAAAGATTTCATATAAAATGTCGTAAGTGTCTTCATTGGGAAGCAGCCAGTGATCTTCCATTTCCGTCAAGATTTCTAGTGCAAGCTCAGCCTGAGGATGCTTCTTTGCCCAGATGGCATCGAAAAGAGTCCTGTTGTTATACCTCCCTCTGGGAAATACATCAAGGAGCCTGTTATAAGCCTCAACATCCTTCTCAATACCAAACTCTTCCATGTAAACCACAGCAGTTTTTAGAAATTCCATATGTCCCCTCCTTGTGCGATCTTTTGCAAGAAAGTCATCGATTATGTCAAAAAAGCTTTCTTTTGATTTCTCGATCGAAGCAGCCCTTTCAAACGATGCAACGTGTTTTGATAACGCAGCTTTCACAGATTTCACTTCACTAGGCTTCACCTTCATGTGAATAATTTTATTTCTTGCTGCGTCTTCCGCCCTTATTTTAGCAAGTCTATCGGCTTGATCTTTTAAAGTATTATATTGCTCCTCATACTGATCATATAAACTCCTCGCCGAGTAGATCTGCCTTCGATGGGCCAGGTATTTCCAGTGTTGAGTTCGAAGGCTGCTTGCAGCACAGATTGGATCATTGACAAACCGTCTCAAGATTGTTGCTACATTCCGAGCTCGTTGCATTATGTCGTGAACTATTTTTAAACACCACAAATTTCACAAAAAATTGGCCAATAAGCCGGAGAAACAGTTTCTAAGATCACAGTATCTTGTCACTTTCGTCCACCATTTTGAATTTCCACAAAAAATTGCTTTGGAGGGTAGAGTGGGTAATGTTTAATTCAAGGACTGTCGGTGTGGGGTACCCAGGGTGGTTTCTTGTTTCCTCTACGACTTTCACTTTGCCTTATAAATGAGAATCATTCTCTACGGTGGCTTCAAAGGGATATTCTCTCATAAAAATACGACAGTAATTCTTTTCAAGAATCTATGCGATTTTGTTAATTTTAAACAGAATTGACCAGAATTCAGTACTACTGCCGTCCACCCGGGGGCTTCCAGGAAACGGGTATTGACTTTGCCCATGTAATTGGGTATGGTTTTCGAGCTACGGGAGTGAATAAACGTATTTGTCATTTCAGTTCCAAATAAATTAAGAAAATAAGAGCAATGTGCGAATTCGACTATTTCGTTTAAGAAATCTTTTTGTTGGCGTTCTAATTAACATAATTTCTGCCTACGCCAGGTCTGAAAACGGGTATGGATTAGAGGCCAGATCTGAAAACGGGTGTGGAAGATGAGAAAATTTTGGTCTGTTTTGGACCTGGCGGCACACCCCCACGACAAATTCCCAGGAATACCCCCCCGAGACTGCCTTGAATCTATGAAAAGCCCTTGCAAATCCATTGGTCCACCCCCAGGATGGTTAAGTACCACGTGGGTTCCTTGCATCGATCTCTTTTCTTCCAGCCCTCGGTGGCTTTTGCAAGAGTAAGATATACGTTAATGTTTTCGTTGTTTTACGTCTATAAAATAACGTCCTTCTTCCCCTGAAACCTCTTAAACATATATTTATTGGCTTTGCTTCATGTTAATCTTAATTTATCTTTCGACTAAACCAAAGCTGTTTTGAAACTTCAATTGAAATAAGGAGGTCGTGAAGCGGTTAGTCTTCGAGATTAGAATCAACTGTTAGGCGTATTAAAGCTTTACGTCCTGTTCCAATGTTTCTTTAACAGAGAGGTTAACGTTTTGAAGGCTGTTTAAATAAGTACAATTAATTTCTGGCAAGTTCTGTAAGAGCAACTTCAGGATAGACATAGGTCTCCTCGAGCATACATGAAATGGTGATGTAAGAGAATCATCTTCATCGTTTTTTCGAATGTCAGCTGAAATTGTCATGCCATTTTTTAAATGATTCCTGGACTAGCATGCACTTAGCAAGGTCATCCTAGAGCATAACTACAGCGTATGGGCAAATTTATGTTACAGTGTGTAAGAAAGCCTCGCAAGTTAATTTCATTTGAATCACAAAACAAGCTTTCTCTCCCAGGAATGCTTTTCTGTAAAAATATATTGTCCCCCTTTCCATCTAGACAGCTCCTCGTTTAGACAAAGTTTGAGTACAATAACCAAATAGAGCTATGCTAAGTTTCTTTCCTACTTATTTAACAATTTTCAGTGGTACAGTAAGGCAGTCTTTGTATATGATTGAGGAATTAAGTGGAATGTAATGCTATCACAAGGGTAAAATTGAAGGACAACCCCCCCAAAAATCTGTTGGCTGTCTGTCGGTAGACTGTCCACCAACAGAGTAAAAGTGTCCCTGGTGTATTAAACAAAACAGATACAGAAACTCTCTCTTTACCTTGTCAGTTATGAACTCACATTATTATCTCAAATTGTCAAACAGTTGGCTGACTGTTGGCCATTTTTTGTCAGTTGACTGTTGGCCACTTGTTGAGTGACTGTTGGTTGTCTTTTGGCAGACTGTTGGTTATTTATTTATTTATTTATTTAATCCTGCTAAACTCTGGAATACGTTACCTGTATCCGCCATACTGTTAGTTCTCTTAATCAGTTTAAATCTCTGTTTGGTTGCTGACTGTTGGTCGGCAGGCGGTTAACAGATGGCTGACAGTTTTTTTGGGGGAGCTCTCCTTCAATTTTACCATTACAAGAATGTCAGGGTTGTCAGAAAGTTTTGAAGTAGATGACTGAGTTGTCAAAGTAAGCGACCAGTCCAGGGATATTTTATTTAAATAACGCCATCCGTAAAGAAATGCAAAGCAGAGTAGCCATCCTATACTAACCAAGTAGGCGGCAATTTTCGCCGCCGGCCGGCTACTTTTAATGACCCTGCAAAAATGTACTTGTTGTATGTCTTTGAATGCTAGGTTGTTCCGTCGTTACTTTTTTTTGGCACATCCAAGCATTATGTCTGGGGGCATCGAAGCTCTACAGTTAAAGGAAGAAGATGTTACAAAGCTACTTGCTGCTGGAGTCCATCTGGGTTCCAGCAATGTGGACTATCAAATGGAAAGTTACGTTTTCAAACGAAAACCTGATGGTAAGAAAAACTTGTGCAAGTGATTGATGTTTTTGTTCCATGCACATAATCAGAGTGGATAATATACAGAGTCTCACAAGCTTGTAGGTTGAAAAAGTATCATACCATGCCACCTAGTTAAAATTGATGTACAAATAATTTGTAATAATTATTATTGCATTGGTTAGGTTCTAAGGCATTGTGTCAGTACTGTGTTTGTTGCCCAGTCTCTTGAAGATTTAAGCCTAGTATGTTATGCAACTGGGTAAGTACTGAAAATGAATTTAATAGAAGAGTTATTTTAATACTTTTCCTAGGTGTTCACATCATCAATTTAAGAAAGACTTGGGAGAAGCTGCTCCTTGCAGCTCGTATCATAGTGGGCATTGAGAATCCTGCTGATGTGTGTGTGATTTCTGCCAGGCCTTATGGACAGGTAAATTTAGAACATTACACAGGGTTGGTACAGTGTCTTGAATTCTTGAAAAAAGTCTTGAAATTTGCGCAAAAATTTTCCAGACCTGGAAAAAGTCTGGAAAATGTAGTTTAAGTGTGGAAAAATGGCAAAAAGTCCAGAATTTTTTTTTCAAAGCTCTAACAAGTACTTTGGAAGAGAAATTTTTTTCTTTTTGGTCAAATCTTATTCAATCTCGGCCGTATGTTTGCAGCACACCATGAAAATAGCTTTGTTCCCTGTGTTTTTAAGGTCTCTATTGATCACCCATTTGATAACCTTGGTCTAGAAAAATAAATTATTGTTTTGAAAAAAGTCGGGAAAAAGTCTTGAATTCTGGATCCTAAAATCTGTATGAACCCTGATTACAGTGCTTACTCAATTGGTGATTGGCCTAAGTCTGGTGTTAGTCATAGATTTTGTAGCATTATCCTCATAGTGAGGGTAACTCATATGAAGAATGGACTGTTTCTGGTTTCATGTACTGTAAAACATGAGTAGATGGCGTTCATGAGACGATCTTTAGATGGTGCAAACCAACAAGTATTTTTTGAGGTTGCTTAAATACTTGTCGGTGAAGTCAGTGTCTGTGTCTTGGTTTAATTCTTTTCTTGGTTACCTTTAATTTGCATTTGTTTTAAACTGATTAACATAGATCTATGTTGTGCTTCATTTTTATCGTTGGTTTAAATTTTATTTTCCATTGTTTCTGACTCATTAATATGGTAATGTATGATAATGAGCCTGAAACAATTATCCATGAACAAAAGAGAATAAAATTTAAACCAAGGATAAAATTGAACCACAACATAGATGACCACATTGTATACAAAGACGAAGAGAAAAAAAGCCAAGCTGGATAAAATTACAACAGGACCATTAATTCCTGCCTTTCAAAGTGTTTGTGAGGGGGATCTTCAAGATTTCGTTCACATCTTGGGCATTATGAAGAAGTATTTAAAATGGTCAGTTTAAGTCTTGTTGATAATGTATCTTTGATAACAGAAACACAAGAAATTGGGTTCATCAACTGAATTGATAAGGCAGATTAGCCAATGACTCTAGGGGATCTCAATCCCCCTATGGTGGCCAACAAGCCATTTTGGGGTAAACGAACTAATGTTGTGTTATGTTGGTATTTGATAGCGTGCTATTCTAAAGTTTGCAAGCCACACTGGAGCTACAGCTGTGGCGGGACGCTTCACGCCGGGTACCTTTACCAATCAAATTCAGGCAGCTTTCAAGGAACCACGACTGCTTGTTGTTTGTGACCCACGCACTGACCAACAGGTAAAAAACATTCAAATTCATAGAAGGCAGTTAACATCAAGTTAATTATGCCTTTATTTAGAACTGATTTCTTCCTTTTCGTTTAATTATGGGTTTTGAGTACCTTTTGTTTAAATTTTTAATGGCACTTAATTTTGCAATTTCAAAAAATTTTCCAAGACTCCCAACAAAAATAAAATGATGCCTTATCTGCTCCTCTTCCTTCTTAGGATTGACGCTATTCAGTTATGAAAACATGTTGTCTTGAACACTTTGATAAAATAATAATACCCTGTTAACCTTTGAAGTGTAAGGTTGTGTTTCTTCTCAAATAAACATGTTCACCAAACTTTTAAAAATTACAACTTTAGGTCATATTCAAGGCGTAATGGAATATTAATGATCCTTTATGACTGATCAGACTGCACCAAAACATTGATTCATTTGAAGCAAGAAGTGCAATATTTTAGAGTGACTTATGTGTAATAATATACTTCGAGAACATGAATTTAGGAGTGGTGAGTAGGAGTGTTGCACCTATTTCCTTGGTATCTGATACTAGTAACTATATTCTTCACAGCCCGTAACTGAAGCATCATATGTGAACATCCCAGTTATTGGATTCTGCAACACAGACTCTCCACTCTGCCATGTGGATGTAGCAATCCCATGCAACAACAAGGGTGCTCATTCTGTCGGTCTCATGTGGTGGTTACTGGCAAGAGAGGTCTTGCGAATGCGTGGTAGCATCAGCCGTCAGCATCCTTGGGATATCATGCCAGATCTGTACTTCTACAGGGATCCAGAAGATGTAATGATAAAAAAAAAAATATTTGTTTATAAGCAACATAGGCAATGATTTGACAGTGTATGAACCAGTTCGTGAGTCGGTTAGTGGCTCTTGTGGATTCTCTCATGAATGGCATGTCCCTTCAAAAGAACAGTGGAAAAGGCAACAGAAACAAGCCCCCTTGTCCCCAAAACACCTGCAACTGCTAAATTTCGTGATCAGAAAGTACAGTTCATGGGAGCTGCATGTCTTTTCTGTTCACTTGAAACCAATCACTATTTCAGTTCAATGTAGGAAGTCAGTTTAACAAAACTTTGAGGCCAGAGTTAGCTAAATTTGAACTGAATTAAGCAACAGCACACTCAGGGCAGGAACAACAAACTACAGTGAAACCCCACCTTATGGCCACCTCATTAATATGTTCACCTCTTGCTTACAGCCACTTTTTTTGGCTGCTTGGTAAAACGGTCATACATTTTCTTGTTAAAAATCTCGTTAGTACAGGCACCTGTTAATACAGCCAAAGTTTTTTGGCCCTTTGGTGACCATATTAACAGGGTTCCACTGTAATTTAATAACCAACTGTTACTGGCATTTCGGAAGAAGGTACAAGGATAATTAGGTTTACCTAAACTAGGAAATAAATTTATTGTATTCTGAAGTGTGGCATAAAATCAGTTCATTCTTTTCGTCATCAGGTTGAGAAAGACGTTATGGAACGGGAACAAGAAGAACAGGTGCAGCCAGCCACCACCTATGCTAGTGATTGGGCTGGTACAGTTGATCAGGGTGCTGGAGAGGTTAGTAGTGGTGCAGTCACTTTCTTAACCCCTTCAAGTCCCAAGAGTGATCAACATCAATATTTTCTCTTCACAATATCAATACATTATAAAAAGAAAAGGTTATGAGATTTAATAGCATCATCGCCTCAGGGAAAATGCTCTGATCTTTTATCAAACTCTCTCAACTAATTCGTTAAGGAAATGTATGGAGATCAGTCTGGAGAATTTGTATGTGGATATTGGGGCTTAAAGGGTTTATTATTATCGGGGACACTCTGGATCAATTCCATAGTCGCAGGGTTCAAAAAACTCCTTTGAGGACATCTACCTTAAAGGGGGAACATGCATTTACATTCATACCCAAATAGACTGCAAAGGGTCTGCAAGTCTGTAATAAGGAGCCATAGTAATTTGACTGAAATTAGTTCAGTCAAATGCCTGTAATTCTTGCTGAGGATGCAGGTGCTGTCTTTAGTAGCAAAGCCTTATCCAGACATGAGAGAACAAAGCAGAAAAAAAGGGAATGCTATGCTCCCTACTTTGAGCCACTCCCATCTATATGAATACTCAGAATAAGTTATTATTAGCTGTGAGATCTTTGCAGGTGAGAGCTGACCTGGTAGTGGTCAATAAAAGCTGGCAAACTTAAATAAAAGGCATCCAAAGCTTAGATTTGTACTTGTTTGCATTTTTCTTGAATTCTATTTCTTTTGTTTCCAGTGGGGTGCTGAGCAGATGGGAGTTCCAGCAGTCCCATCTGGTGTGGTTGGTGGTGAGGATTGGGGTGCCTCCACCAAGGAATGGGGCAGTGAAGGTCCTGCTGCTCCATCAAAGGACTGGGCAGATGTCCCAGTCCCAAGCAAGGACTGGGGTGACCCTGCACCCAAAGAGTGGGGAGCTGAAGAGGTGCAACCAAGCAGTGACTGGGGTACATCTGTGGCAGATGCAACCAGTGGAGGAGCTGAATGGGCATGATTTGTTGACTAAAAGCTTACTGACTGTAACACTTTGAAAGAACGAAAATAAACTCGTTCCCATGTCTCAATACTGGCATCTGTTACTAATTTGAATTTAATGCATCTTCTTTCCCTTAATGTATGTTTTTATGGAAACCGATCTTTTCGATACAAACTCAAGCATTAAAACTGTACAATGAATTTCGTTCAATTCAATGCAGTTTGTGCATGAACAAGAGAAGCACTTAGGGTTGATATTCCTCTTTCTTTAAAGTAATTTTACTTGACCTGTAAAATGGGGTAAAAACTAGGGCTAATAGCCACAAGTAAGCAAGAGAAGACAATAGAATTAGTGCATGATAGCACGTAGTATCACGCTTATGGGTTAAGTAAAATCACTTTAAGCCAAGGACTTGAACCTATTTTATGCCTTGACTGAATCAACTCATGTGGAAATGACCCATAAAATGTCTTAAGCTAGAGGTTAAAATTTAGTATGAAAACAGGATGCTGTAAACTGGGACTTATTTACACCCAACTCATCTAGAAGTGATATCTGGAATAATCAAGGTTTCGGTAATAATGTTATCAGCCTTGGGCCCTCGGCTTGGCTGATAACACTTACATACCATGACTATCATGGATATCACAAAAACCTCATCCAATATTAGTTTAAAATCCAGCCCACAGCTAGCTATTGCATTTGAGATAAAAATGTCCTACAATGCAAACAAAAGCTATGATTATTACCCTAACATCTAAAACATGAAACATGTTGTGGTCCTATGCAACTAGAGGATTACCATAGGCCATTAGTTGGACAGAACAGCAAAAGGTGTACTGTCCACTGGTAAATATCTTAGCTGAATAATGATGTAATTTGGTCGTCAACAAAATTTGTTTAAACATTTATTTTATTGTGCCAAAGTGGCCTTCAAATGAACAAAAAACCCCTAAGTAACAAAACAATACAGCAGAAAATAATTCAAACACCTTACAGGATAAAACACTGTAAAAAAATCAAAATGCAAAGAACTATAATGCGTCAACAAATTTCATGTAATTAGGAAATTATATATTTCCTGTTTCCACAGAAAAATCCCCATGAAATATAAACGACCTATTTTCCTCTAATCCAAGCTTGTTTAAGTACAGTGGCACTTGTAGGGGGTTTATAACTAGGCTGAAAAGACTTTTTAGATGATGCAGGTAATGACGGAAATTCCATTTCAGATACACCATTACTTTGTATTCCAACATTCCATGCTGTGCCTTCACTGTGCCACACCCCAGGGGCCTTTTTGCTTGCCTTTCCAACTTTACCTCTACTACTGCTTTCACGTTTTGCTTTGATCTTAGCATCCTGGTGAACTGATAGAAGTTCATTTTTTCTCTCCTCGTCAGGTAACAAATCCACAAGTTCTGAAAAAACCTGTGAGAAATTTGTTGCAAAGAGTTCGCAGCAATGCGCATAATACTCTGCTGCAGAACAATCACCTTTGCGAAACTTTCCAGACACTGCCTTGAACTCATCAAACTTGGTCTTATCATATCCCAGTAAGCCCCTAATCTTCTCGATAAGCATTTGGTTTCTCTCTTGTTTACTGTTACTTGTCTTAACTTCCGGTTTAGAGATAGTGGTATCTTCTACAGGTGCAATATTTTCTTTAACCTTTCCTTTAGCTATTTGTGAGAAGGATTGAAAGCCTGGAGGAGGCTTCGTACGGGAAGTCTGTTGTGGCACTGATAATAATGGAGGCTGACGAGCAGCTGCGGCAAAGCCAGGGGGTATGGTGTGAGGTTGTTCTTGTAATAATTGAGCAGAAGCCTCTAAAGTAGGAAAGCCATCTTTTGAATGTAAAGAAGCATTTGCAGCTTGACCATAAGAATATGACGTAGTAGTTTTTTTGGTTTCCTTTGATTTATCAACTACATTTGAAACCTCCTGAGAACCAGCTAACACAGGAAAGTCAGCAAGTGCAGCTGTTTCATTTGCAGTGAACTCTCCATTATTGCCTCTGTCTTCGGATTTATGCTTTTTTGGTTCTTGTGGTTTGGATGACGGCGATGGCAGCTCTGAGGGATCCTCTTTGCTTAAAGAAAGTGCCATTGCAGTCTGCAGTTCTAGTTTTTCATTTCTAAACAAGAGGACGAAAACACTATTCATTACCATGTGTACTCTGCAGTCAGTTTAACATAACGATCTAACATAATATTGTATCAATAAAAAAATAACATTAATGCTTCTGGTAACAGTTTAGTCAAACCTAAACTGAAGACCATCTCTCCTTGAAAGTTATTCAAGGCCCGGCAATTGTAAGGGGTGCCTAGATAGAAGCCCTACATGCACAACTGTCATTAAAGGCTGTAACTTGTAACACCTGTTATGGCTGAGCTCACTTGAAGTAACAGTTGGAAAGGTGAAAATAACACTAAAAATTTTTTGTGAGACGTTAAATGTACAGTATAACCCAATCTTCATTTGTGTTGGCTGCTTCAAAACTTAATGAAAGTACCAGCCCTGGTACATGTAGCTCTTGATCTTATGTCAAATTCTCCTGAAAGCATTTCTACTTTGACCCAATCAACCCTTAATGGCTTTAAATGGTCTAGAGAAAATATGATAAGCAAACTAAGCTGCACTTTACATGAAATTTTGACTGAACAGTGCAGATAATATAAGCTAATTCAGTCTAAAACTATTTGAGAGCTCCTAACCAGCTCTAGACTGGTTTGGCCATTGTGTCAGCTTGAGTTGCTGTTGTGTCAAGTTTAGCAGTGTGCTTGCTTTGCAAGATGAATGAAGCTCACATTTTTTAGTGAGTTAATGCAACAGCATATTCATATAGGAGTTGCGGTTACATTTACAACAGCAGTTGTTTTCCCTCCCTACGAAAAATGTTGACCTTTCTTATTTTATACACTAGAATAATTTATGTTTTAAACATCTGCATCCATGGCTATTTACTTCACAGAAATAGAAGTACAAGGAACTGGGTGTACCATTACTTTGTATGTATGGTCTAAAATGGAGTGAGGAAAGTCGTTCATGCACGATAGAAAATGGGACAGTTGTCGGCAGAGGCTACTTTTCGCAAACATCTATTGTGAAAAAGGAGTCTCTGCTTGCAAGGTAAGTTTTCCACTTTGATCACCCATAAGACCTCAGCTGGGTTACTGCCCTTAACAACAGCACTGCCATATATACTTCAAGGCAAGGACATGTGGAAGTGAACCTCCAATACTTTCTAGTGTCATTGTGAATCTAATGACAGTAAGTGTCTTATGCTGAATCTAGTCCAGGAAAAATGCTCGAATTGCTGTAAAATCGACCTTCTTTTGCCTTATAATGTGATTTTCTGGGAATTTCACACATTTATCACACTCTGTCAGTGGGCCTGATAAGAGTGAGATCTTTACACACCTGTTATCTGCAGAAGCACTTCCTCTATTAACGCCTTTATCTCTTTTTCTAATTCCCTGCTCTGAGGCCCTAACCTCCGCGTAATCTCTGCCAGTTATAATGGAGCCTTGATTAGCCTGAGGTCTTGGACGAGGAGCAAATGTAATGTCAACTTCAAGTTGACGAGCTTGACGAGCCTGTGCCTTTGATAAGTTCCCAGAATGCCTTGCAGCACGATGGGCTTGAAAATCAACCTTTGTACGAAAGACGGAGGTGAACTTTTCATTAACACAGTCTCCCTCTTCACAAAGGAAATGGAAATCACGAAAGTGGATGCGGAGGTTTTGATAGTTGGGAAAATAATCCTGACTGCCGTCACGCTCACAGAAATGACACCAAAAATGATCCTTTCGCAGATGTTTGTGCAGCTCGTCATTATCCAAGAAACGCTCATCACAAAACTCACATAGGGGATGCCCCTTGTGCGATTTGTCATCTTTGTCGCCAATTCTTCGATGTGTGGCCAAATCTGATCGAGTGTATGCTTTGAACTCAAAACTGAACTTCCGTAAATGAGCGACGCAAATATCACAATAAAATTTTCCATGCTCCCTTTTCACATGGTCCCGTAGACGTTCAAAATACCTTTCTGGTGCACGATTTGGGCAAAATGGGCAGCGATGCTCCATAAGATGTTTTACACTTGCTTTGATTTCCTTATTCTGGTAGAGAATCCCTGGACGCTTGTCACTAACAAAGGAGTTCCTTCTTGCAAAAAGCTTGTCATAACTGTTTTTTTCACGAGTTAGGAATACCTAGGCACCAAAAAATAATAATAGAGTTTAGAGGGAAAAGCAAACACAACTGCAACATTTTTTAATCCATCCCCACTTCCTTGAGGGCAATAAAAAGGGAATGATTCCTGCCAGCATTAGAGCAAAATACATGACTGTACATTGTACATAATATCACATTACGTAGCACACGGGAGGAAATACATACAACCTACACCCACAACATTAGGTCATACTTTTAGAATGAATCAACTCTTATAAAAATAAAATACTAATCAACATAATTATTTTACGCGCGGGTACAAAATGATGTCGCAGCAAAAATAGGAAACTCTAGAACCAGCTTAAGTAGTCACAAAAAGGAACCACAATCGCTTTTCTTTTCAATCGATTTCCTTTCCAGGATACTTTCCCATCATAATTACACCCTTTGTTGCTACACTGTACAGTGTACCTGTAAAAGCCCAGAGAAGGAAAAATTCTGGGTGGTAAACAAAACGATCTGTTTTTAAACACAGCCTCTCACAATAAATATTTGAGCCTAACGTTAAATCCTGCTACATTTAAGTATTTTTGTTTCTTAAGAACCCTTTTACCTGAGTCAAATCAGCGCGACAAATTGGACAGTAGGTCTCTTTGCCAAGGACACGCATTCGAACACAACACTTATGGCAGACTGGATGATCACACGATCCAACGGCGTAGAACTCGACGTCTTCGCAGCAGACAACACAGAGACAGACAGAATCTTTACGAGCACCTTTAGAACTCATCTTTTTCAGAAAACTCACGAGTATAATAGCAAAAAACGAAGCGATAACGAGACCTCAACACACCGAGATAAATCCGGTAAAAATGGCCGCCTAGATCACGATCAATGCCCTAATATGGATGTGAGATTGCGTCACAAACAGACCAGAAGTTGCAACACCCGATTCACGCAACTCCTGTGGGTGATACCCGCTGAAAATGGACCAAATTACGCGGGCATCACCCGCTGAATTACGTACTATAGTACGGGCAATATGGCGGTACATAGGCTACACAACTATCTGTGCAAGTAACCGTTATATTTTCGATCAAATTAAAAAAAATCCCCCTTTTTGATACAGCGGAAGATGAATAGACGAAACTCGAACATATATTAACGACTATTTGATATAACAAACGCAAATTTTCAAACAATTCCAGCTAATTCCGCATACATCGAAGACGAATAAGAAATAAGGCGAAGTTAAATTGATCAAAG